GGGAGCTGTCTGAAAACACTTTGTGGGTGGTTGAAACACTTTTAGGACATTTAACTTCTGCTTACACACTTACAAATGCAGCCTAGCCAGCATTCAAAGGAAACCCGCAAATCTGAGGTACGAGTGAAGGCAGACAAATCCTGAGGTACCCTCAGTGGTCCTTCTAGGGGAGTGATGGTGGGGTGGTATCTCCCCCAAGTCCTGCCTCTGACCCTGGGGGATGCAGGAGTGTGTTTTTTTGTTTTTTTGGTTTTTTTGAGACAGAGTTTTGCTCTTGTTGCCCAGGGTGGAGTGCAATGGTGCAATCTTGGCTCATTGCACCCTCCACCTCCCGGGTTCAAGCAGTTCTCCTGCCTCTGTCTCCGAAGTAGCTGGGACTACAGGCACGCACCACCATGCCTGGCTAATTTTGTATTTTTTGTAGAGATGGAGTTTCACCATGTTGGTCACACTGGTCTCGAACTCCTGACCTCAGGTGATTCACCTGCCTCAGCCTCCCAAAGTGCTGGGATTATAGGTGTGAGCCACTGCACCCACTGGGAGTGTGTTTCATATAGTACTTCACATAGTATTACTGTTTTTCAAAAAACTATGTACAGGCCGGGCACGGTGGCTCACACCTGTAATCCCAGCACTATGGGAGGCTGAGGCGGGCGGATCATGAGGTCGGGAGATCGAGACCACTGCACTCCAGCCTGGGCAACAGAGCGAGACTGTCTCAAAAAAAAAAAAAGAAAGCTATGTACATATGAATCCTTTGTGATACCTAACAGTGGGTGAGGGGTGGGCTGTTTTTACAGAAGTATCCCAGAGCTGTGAAATGGAAGGAAGGAATGATAGACTTAAAGAGTCATCCAGGTAACAGTACAGACAAGGGCCATCAATCAATGCTAAAAGCCTTGGGTGAAAGGTTTTAGGAAACAGGACCTTGTTATTCGCATGGTCTCAAAGTGTCACTCCCCAGTTACTCGTTACAAAGGAGAAAGTCACCTTCGCAACAGAGGGACCCATACAGGACAGACTGCCCCGTTGTGTTTCCCGACATGGAACCGTGGGAAGCACACACCACCCTGAGGTTGTTTCTGACAGGAAGCCTAACCGGAACCTTACCATGAGGAAGCAGTTAGACAAATCCAGTTGTCTGATGTCCTCAGGAACATTTTGATGTTCTTAAAAAATGACGGACATCGAAAAACTAAGTAAGTCAATCAAAGGCAGGGCTATGGTTCCAAACAAAGGAAGTCTACAGAGACATAGCGGAATGCGTGATCTACCATCTGATCCTAGTTTAGGAAAGAAAAACAACTGTAAAAGGCATATTAAGGCGTGGTGGCTCATGCCTATAATCCCAACGCTTTGGGAGGCTGGGATGGGGGAGGATCGCTTTAGCCCAGGAGTTTAAGACCAGCCTAAGCAAAAAGAATCTAGATTAGCCGGGTGTGGTGGAACTTGTCGGTAGTCGTCCAGCTACTCAGGAGGTTGAGGCCAGAGCGTCACTTGAACCCAGGAGGTTGAGCCTGCAATGAGCAGTGGTTGTGCCACTGTACACCAGCCTGGGCAATAGAATGAGACTCCATCTTTTTAAAAAAAAAAAAAAGAGACATCTTAGGTACAGTTGGAGAAATTTGAATATGGACTGTTGATTAGAAAATGCTATTCAGTGTTAAATTTCTGAGGTGTGGTAATAGTGTTGTGGTTATGTAGATCAGTGTCCTTTTAGTTAGGAGGTGTGTGTTAAAGTATTTAGGGTTAAAATGTCATGATGTTTGCAACCTACTTTCAGATGGTTCAGAAAAATGTGCTTGCATATGTGTATGTGTGTGGGGGCATGAGTAGATAGATAGAA